TAGGAAAAGGGAGGCCAAATTGTTTCTGTTTACAGATGACATGATTGTATATTTAGAAAACACCCTCATGTCAGCCCAAAATCTCCTTAAGCTGATAAGCAACTTCAGCAAAGTCTCAGGATACAAAATCAGTGTGCAAAAATCGCAAGCATTCCTATACACCAATAATAGATAAACAGAGGCCAAATCATGAGTGAACTCCCATTCACAATTGCTACAAAGAGAATTGTGTAGAGAATTAAATACCTAGGAATACAACTTAAAAGAAATGTGAAGGACCTATTCATGGAGAACCAAAAACCACTGATCAAGGAAATAAGAGAAGACACAAACAAATAAGAGAGGACACAAACAATTGGAAAAACATTCCATACTCCTGGATAGGAAGAATCAATATTGTGAAAATGGCCATACTGTTTAAAGTAATTTATAGATTCAATGCTATCCCTATCAAGCTACCATTGACTTTCTTCACAGAATCAGAAAAAAACTACTTTAAATTTTATTGGAACCAAAAAAGAATCTGCATAACCAAAACAATCCTAAGCAAAAAGAACAAAGCTAGAGCATAACCAAAGCAGCATGGTACTGGCACCAAAACAGATATATAGAACAATGGAACAGAACAGAAGCCTCAGAAATAACACCAACACATCTACAACCATCTCGTCTTTGACAAACTGACAAAAACAAGCAATGGGGAAAGGATTCCCTATTTAATAAATGGTGTTGGGAAAACTGGGTAGCCCTGTGCAGAAAGAAGAAACTGGACCCCTTCCTTACACCTCATACAAAAATTAACTCAAGATGGATTAAAGACTTAAATGTAAGGCCTAAAACTATAAGAACCCTATAAGAAAACTTAGGCAATACCACTCAAGACATAGGCATGGGGAAAGACTTCATGACTAAAACACCAAAGCAATGGCAACAAAAGCCAAAATTGACAAAGGGGATTAAACTAAAGAGATTCTGCACAGCAAAAGAAACTATCATCAGAGTGAACAGACAACCTACAGAATGAAAAAATTTTGCAATCTATCCATCTGACAAAGGGATAATATCCAGAATCTACAAAGAACTTAAACAAGTTTACAAGAAAAAAACAGATAGCCCCATCAAAAATTGGGCAAAGGATATGAACAGACACTTGTCAAAAGAAGACATTTATTCAGCCAACAAGCATATGAAAAAAATCTCATCATCACGGGTCATTAGAGAAATGCAAATCAAAACCACAATGAGATACCATCTCACACCAGTTAGAATGGCAGTCATTAAAAAGTCAGGAAACAACAGATGCTGGAGAGGATGTGGAGAAATAGAAATGCTTTTACACTGTTGGTGGGAGTGTAAATTAGTTCAACCATAGTGGAAGACAGTGTGGTAATTCCTCATGGATATAGAATCAGAAATACCATTTGACCCAGCAATCCCATTACTGAGTATAAACCCAAAGGATTATAAATCATTCTACTAGAAAGACACATGCACATTTATGTTTATTGCAGCACTGCTCACAATAGCAAAGACTTGAAACCAACCCAAATGCCCATCAATGATAGACTGGAGAAAGAAAATATGACACATATACACCATGGAATAATATTCAGCCATAAAAAATGATGAGCTCATATCTTTGCAGGGACATGGATGAAGATGGAAATCATCATTCTCAGCAAACTAACATAAGAACAGAAAACCAAACACCACACATTCTCACTCATAAGTGGGAGCTGAAAAATGAGAACACATGGACGCAGGGAGGGAAGCATCATACACCAGGGCCTGTTGGAGGGTGGGGGGCTAGGGGAGGAATAGCATTAGGAGAAATATCTAATGTAGGTGACAGGTTCATGGGTGCAGCAAACCACCATGGCCTGTGTATACGTATGTAACAAACCTGCATTTTCTGAACATGTACCCCAGAACTTAAAGTATAATAATTAAAAAAAAAAAAGAAATTAGGCCATAAAATTGAAACAAGGGACAAAGGACAACTCATGGACACACAGGCTTTGTCTGTGGACTTGTATGAGTGTTTGACTACCTTCAGTTTTGAAAAATGAGGAACAGTTTGGGAATACTAACAAAGCTTGAAAAGGGAAGAATTGATACATGTGAGGATTTCCAAATGAGAGTCCTTCTGTCTGGAACATTGTACTTTGTCTTCTCCTGAATGATGTATTCATTCTCTGGACTCCTTTCGGACATCAATCCCTTAGGAAACATCCCTGAGCCCCACTCTCATGCCTCCCTGCTCTTATCTGAGTGACGAGATTTTTCTGAGTGCTTCTTGGCATGCAGCACTGGTCACTATCATGGTCCTTATCATGCCGTATTGTGATTGTTTACTTGTCTCAACTCCTTATTCTCAATCGACTGAAGAAGTTTTTGATTTATTTCTCTTTGTAGACCCCATATTTACACACTCAATAAAAGTTTACTAAATAAGCAAGTAGGATTGTCTGAGGACATGTATTATACTGTATAAATGTCCCACTTTTTAAAAATGTATTTGGTTTTTCCTGCAAAGTAAATTCTGAAGGCAAATCACAAATGCCTTTCAAAGTAAGAATAATGAGTTTATAAGAAAAAATATGTGGTTGCATATATTTTTCTTTTTCCCAAAGGAAAGCTAGTTGGCATGGCAGAAGATAAGGTAGATTAGAAATGTTGTGCCTAACACTACTTCTTACAAGTTAATAGATCTGTGTGAGTTCACTTCTTCAGCTGAGAATTGGAGATAACACTATCTATACTTTCTATCTTACAAGGTTGTTGCAATAATCAGATAAGTTCATGGGAATAAAAGCATTTCAAAAACTCTGAATTGGTATATGAAGCATGTTAAGGTGACTTTTTAAAAAAAGTGTGAGTTGGCTTTTCTTACATAGTTTTCCAATTCTTTATGTTACATAAAGCGAAGGTTGAGAAATACATTTTGGTGAGAAGTTTGAGTTTCACATTATCACTTCCAGTCATTAAATGTGGATAGGATGGTTTGGCCTATAACCTCGATCTAGTTTAGCTATCATTGTCACTGTCACACCTCCACCACCATCAGCCAACCTGGAATGTTACTGGGCTGTTATGCTCAAGTCTTTTTTGTGTTTCCTGATAAGGGAGTCAGAATTCAGTCTGAAGGAAGATACTTGTACATGCCTATTTCAAGTACTTTTAACATTGGTTATGGTATACTGATTTAGAAAAGCTCCTTGGTGGACCAGAAGCATAATGTAAAACCAGCTGCCAGGTTTCTGGTTGCTTTCCTGCATGTGGTAGAATAAAATAGAAAGTAATTGGTACTAACTGATCTCCATTATGATGTGAGAATAGAGTTGGCAGAAAAATTTACAATTAGCTCTGACATTATTGACAAGGCTATAGTATAATGAAGTAATAGTGAGACATTAGTTTACTGCTCTGGCAATCACATAATTTAATAGCATCTTAGCTCACAGAATTTAGTGTTATAAAGACTTAAAATGTTTTTAATCCAATGAATAAATATATAAATTTTTAAAATACTCGATTGATATTTATAGCAATGAGGAGGTAGCCTAAAGTATCTTCCCTTTCACCCATGGTCCAGAAATGAATAGATATTTGTAGAAGTTCAATGTTGTCTGAGAACCTTTCCAGTGTCATTGCAAAGATCTTGCTGCACAGAATTTCAAGATGACACAACATTAGTCCCATCGACTTTCTAACCCAGCCACTTGAGGTGTGGCTTCATTTAATAACTCATTAAATGAAGAAATACTTTCTCAAGAGTCTGCAAGCCAGAGTAGTAACATGGCAGTTACAGATTGCTTCCTGTTCATCACAGAATATAGAAATTTCACACTACCCTTCACACTAATCACAATTCTTCCCTCGAAAACATGTTATTTGAACAATTCCATTACTGAAATCCTGATAACCTTTTCTTCTTTGGAGACGTGCACAGAAAGCGTTTGAAATCATTGTATCACCCTGCTACACTCCATGATATGGGTTTTGTGACTACAATTTAACAACTCCATACTAGCATGAGAGAAAGAGAGGTTGGCATCAATGGTTTATTTATTGAGCTCTAAATTCTGTTTCTTTCAAAAGAATACTTGTACTCTAAGAAATATTTTCTGAATTCCTATCATAATATTATAAAATATCCTTTAAAAGCATTGTTCAAAGTATAACAAATCAAAATGATAGAACTATCTGGTACTAGTTGGCACAATTATTGTGTCAACATATAATTCCTTACCTTTATGTCTGGGGATCTCTGCAGTAAAATCATGAATAGAGATCTAAAATCCTTCACTTCTACAATATGTCATGCAAGACCTACTTCTAAATAAATCAATATTACGCATCTATATAACTTCCATTCTTGTTGAGCAGACATCATATGGCTTTCTAACCTCATCTCTCACCACTCTGAAGATAATATCTCTCACCCTTCTCTCTCTCTCTTTCTTCCTCTCTCTCTCTCTCACACACACACACACACACACACATATTTTTTCATATACATATATCATATAAATCAGCAAGTCCCTAGACCTTTGAATGTGGTGTACATATTCTCTTTTTCCCTTAATGGTATTTCCTTCAGCTAGAATGTTGATTCTCCTCTCTTTTTGCCAATTCAAATCCTTTCATTTCAAAGTTCACTGCTTCCAAGAATTATGGGATTCTTAACTAACTGAATCTGTCACCCACCTTAGCCTTACTTTGAATATCCTCATTAGTCGTGTGTACACAATATGTGCCACATCAGTATGGCTTTTTTTCTAAGTGGCCTCAGAAAGATTCTGAGTGCCCTAGGTGGACGTGTAACACTTTCCAATGTTAAGCTCCTCAAGACTAGAAGGTATTTACTTAACTTCCTCTGATTCCAAATTCCATCTGGGATCTGCTACACTCAGCTGATTATCAAAGATGCCTGAGATATTAATTTTTACCAATCCAGTCTTGCTTTAATCTGTGATAGTGTGTGGTTTTATACTTACTGGAACAGAAACTTGAGGATTATCTGCAAGTTTACCCAGCACAGCAGAGCCGCTGATGTCAATTGGGCCTCTTGGCTTTATAGGTAAAGATTCAATCCTGTTGCAGTCAACAAAAAGAGTAGCACTACTTCTCTCCACACCAATCATGATCTTATGCCACTGGGAATCAAACAAGGAGGGCAAATTCGAAAAGGCTGCTGTTTGGAGACTTCCATCCAGTCCCTTGTATGAAAATGCAACAGATTGTGTTTGGCCGTTAATCTTTATGCCAACTTGCTCCTTCCCAGAGGAATCCTGAATCTGCCAAATGCTCCAGTTCTTTTTGAGTGTGCTTCCAGTCATCCGAAATGTTGTCAAGAAGGAATATTCTTCAGGCAGTCCACTGGGATATAAATTCCTGAGTAAAATTTTTAAATAGTAAATATGAATCTTGTTTCCTGTACCCATGCATATTTACCGTATTCCCTTTTGAGGCCATTTTTAGAAGCCAGACCTACAGAAAGTCTACAGTGTAAAAAACCATGTACCTTTTGTTATTTCATGGCTGTTCATAAAGACCTTCACAGTAGTTCAATCATTCATGTACATTCATGGTCCATCTTAAAATACACATTTTTAAAACACCCTCCCTCATCACTAAGGAAGATTCCCAATGCCACATAATCCCAACAAAATTACTATTTATACTATCCAAAGAGCTACTGTTCAGCAATTTTGTCTCAGCCAAAAAACACATTCTTGCAAAGTTCTTGGCAACATTTCATTCACAAGTAAGAGAGGAGATCATTAGGAATGTAAATCAGCAGTACTAGCTTATGAAATGATTTAATTAAAGCAGCTACCAGTTTCTAATTTTTTGTTTTAATGTAACATGTTAAGATTATTTGTAATTTCCATAATTGCTTGGATATTCCACTCCACACTTGTATCCTTGACCCATGTAAGTATTTTGAGAATCAGTAACTGGGGACTTCAGAAGCTTCTTCACACTGAGGATGTTTGTCTTTTTTTAGGGAGTTCAAAGTACGATGTTAAAGTAGCAGCTTAAGGCTGGATGGGTGATAAGTGAAAGTGACCTGTTCTTACTTCTCTACTGCATCTCAATTGTTCCTTAATCTGCCAATTAAGTCTGTATCATTGCTAACTCCTATACTGCTTTAAATGGCAGAATAAAACCAGTAGTGTCCCTGAGGCATCTTTACCCTCTATAGAGACTGTGGTCTGGGGCTACACCAGCTACCTGGATATGCTTCTGTTGAAGCCAAGCTGCTAAAAGCTGAAGACTGAACTTTAAAACTTAGCATGTTAAATGTAAGCATCGTCTTTCAAGGACTTGAACATTATGTCTTCTTACCTTCCTCCTTCTGAGCATAGAAAAATTTCTAAGCAAGGAAGAAATGCTAATGAATTTTCTCTGCTAAACAATACAAATTTTATATTTCCGAGAACAGTTATGGACCAGGACCCAGAATTCCAAATAACTTTTCTTCAAGTCAAATTCTTGTTATGTGGCCCTCTTTAACCTGCTAAGATCTTCTATCTTTACTTTGATTTTAATTATAAAACTTTATTATATCTTAAAACAACATATCTTTAACTTCTTTCTATGCAAAGATTTTTACAAGTCTTCAATAAAATGGTTCAACTATCTCAACTTTTATCACTTTGTTAGTTTTCTAAAGATGACAAAACTGTTAAATTTTTCATCTGAATACTCTTTTATCATACAAGTATTTTTTTAACCATTATGTTGTAATATGACTTGTTTGTATTTAGAGTATGGGATGAATTATTTTATCCATAAACATTTTTATCACTGGTGATGTGTGTTATTCTTATTGCAAAGTTTTCAGGTCACTACCTATGTTTTACATCCATCAAGTGTACATTTTTAATATTCAGTATGGAACTAAAGAAAAAAATTATATAAGAACCATTTGCTGACCTATTTTCCCCATATGAAACCCTCTACTACATCACTGCAGATATCTGTTTTTAATATATTTTCTGATTATCAGTTTGTCACAGTTTCTTTGACTTTACATATTTCAGAATTATACCTATTCCAGAATAACCTCTAGAACAGAAGCTAAGATTGACTACTTACAATAAAATGCACTGCCTACGGTATAATTATAAAACCTTATGAGAGTTTGTACATCTTACCTAACTTACCTCAATAAATTTGGAACTGTGAGATAAGTTTTCAAAGTTTTACTTAAATGTGAAATAGGGAAATGTCCATTTAAATTATAAATAGATTATTTTGATTATTCTTCTTAAGTAATGATCTGGATTTAACTAGTTGCTTAAATAATCTATTTTCTTATTTTTGTCCAAGACAGTTATTGTTCAAGTGTGGGTTTTTCCAAAAGGAAGAGAAATTCTAATGCTTTTTCTTCTTTTCCTTAAGCATTATTTTTCCAGGCTTCAAAAATAACCCGATCTGTGTTATCTATATATCTGTCTATCAATATACTGAGCAAAACTGTAGAATTTTTTTTTTTACTTTTTTTTGGGACGGAGTTTCGCTCTTGTTACCCAGGCTGGAGTGCAATGGCGCGATCTCGGCTCACCGCAACCTCCGCCTCCTGGGTTCAGGCAATTCTCCTGCCTCAGCTTCCTGAGTAGCTGGGATTACAGGCACGCACCACCATGCCCAGCTAATTTTTTGTATTTTTAGTAGAGACGGGGTTTCACCGTGTTGACCAGGATGGTCTTGATCTCTTGACCTCGTGATCCGCCCGTCTCAGCCTCCCAAAGTGCTGGGATTACAGGCTTGAGCCACCGCGCCCGGCCAAAACTGTAGAATTTAATCAGTTCTTTTAAAACATTTATTTTGTTTCTATTCTGGAAGTCACAGTAATGTGTTTAGGTGACTTTTGTGAAAACACATCCTGAGGTTAACTGAGGGAACTCTCCCAATTTGTGTTTCATTCAACCTTTCCCACTCGATGAACAAGGAGACTATGTTAAGGGTAGGAAAGGACATAATGTCTTGATTTACCTTTGACTTGGTGTATGTAATGCTAAAAACTAAAAAAAGAAAATAATTAATTTAAAATGATGGAGGATAGGTTTGAGATTGCTAAATGAATACCTCATTTATAGAGATGTTGTTAAAAACTAATGATAGCTGTCCTTTCTCTCAGTATATATGAAGATAATATATGTGTGTGAATATGTATAGAAATAATTTAGATTATCATGTTATTGATATTTTAAACTAGGCTAATATAGTATGGTAAGAAGAGAAAATTTATTTTGATATTCATGTTAATAAAATATATTTGTATTTGTATATACCTAAGACCATTTAAAAGTTTCACAAGTCTAATTTAGAGAACAGTCAGCTCCATTGTCTTTTCTTGGAACACCTGAAATTCTTTCTTGCAAATATGCTATGCACATCAATAAGTAAACTTGACAGCATACATAATTTAAAAGAAGCTACATCTATAAATGATTTATTTCATTATATTACAGTCTTCAAACAGCACCTTAAATGAAGAATCATAAGAGTTTGAATGAAAGGTTAGTGTTTGGACCTTGAAACATTTGTGACCTTAACTCCCAAATAGCTAAGTACTGTGTTTTTAAGGAAAATAACATAAGATGTTTGTTAGTATGCATTGAGAGTGTAAAACTATTATGCCTAAAATAAGGAATAAAAAGCAGCAAAAAAAAAGTATGTGTCTCTTAAGTCTTTCAAAAAATAGAAAAGATAAATAATGATAAATTGTGACTCTATCACATTAGCTCCACATACCATATTTTCCTCCCACAAAGATTCTGCTAATAGTTTCTTTCACTGTCTCAGGGCCTAGCACAGAACTTCCCTTTATACCAACACTGTCTACTCCCTGTATGACCAAAAGCAATTCCCATCCCTAGTCTCCTTGTCACCCAGCTTTTGAATTAGCAGCACTTGGAGGGAAGATTGAAAAGAAAGGATGCTCTGAGGAGAAAAGTCTTTCACATACATACACTCTCTTCTTCTAGTGCTCTTTACCACTAATAATAAACACTTATCCAATACCACTGTGGATTGAGTTCTTCAGGCATTCTCCAGTTTTGAACACCTACTCTGCATAGCAACCTTATGACATAGTTATTATTCCTAATTTTAAACTGAGGGAACTGAAGTAAACATAGTCTAAGTACTTTCCCAAGAATAAACTTTACTATTTACTTGGAATTAACCATGTCTCAGCCCTCTAACTTTCCTCCTCTTTCTATTCCCCTACTTTGTTTTCCTGATTTCTTCCTCCGTCTTTCCTCATCTTTTAATTATCCTTGATAGTAAAACCAGGTTTTTTAGTCTTTATGGGAACAAGGAGTCAAGGGTAGCGAATGTGAGACATTGGATATATCCCGGGTACACTATTTAGTGATAGCTCTAGGCATTTTGAGAAAAACAACAACTAAGATGAGCAGGAGGTAAGGAAGCCACGTGGCCTCAAATGATCAGTCTCTGAACTTAAGAGTTAACGACAGTACCTCAAATCTTAGAAGAGAAAATTAGGTCAGCACTCAGGACCTCGTGTTTTGCTTAATTATTTAGGAAAGAAAAAACAATTTTTAAAGCCTATTTAGTAACATAGCTGGCACTTCTGTACATGAAAAGAAATAATGAGGAAAAAGAAGTGAATATCCCTGTTAGGCTTTTAATCTTTCTAGATGTGAATGGTTCTCCAGAGTCAGTATGGAATAGTGGTCAGAAGTGCAGCCTTTGCAACCATTCTGCCTGGAATTCAGTCCTTCCAGCACGTTCCAACCCAGTTGCCTTATGCAAGTAAATTAAACTTTTGGGGCTCCCTGATTTTTTAAAAAAAAGGTTAATAGTGCTCCTACATCACAGGGTTGTGATGAGAATGAGATTAATGATAATTCGTAAATTTATAAAAAGAGTTTATACAATGTACTATCATCATATTATGCAATAATACATAATATGTTCAAAATATGAATCCCTAGCTGCAATCTGGCACTGTTATATCAGATTCTTCTAATTTGTCCAAAGTTTTTATTTTTATATATATTGAGTTTCTATATTATTTTATTGTTCTAATGAATCATTATTTACCTTTATACCTTAATTTTTATCAAAGACCTAATTGTCTCATTTATCTACCAAAGGAATCTTAATTCTTGTTTTCTTACAGTGTGCTAAAGCATATAATAATTATAATAATCATAAATAAGGTATTTGGGTGATATCAAAACTAAATTGCTGAGATCATTCATAATGACAGGACTCAACCCTTATACACTAAAGTACCTCAGTTATAAATAAAGAACAAAAGGCTTAGTTCCAGAGAAAGAAATCACTGAAGTGGGAGATTTGTTGTTGTCCATATTACTATTATTGTTTCTATTATAATGATTTTAGTTTTGCTCTGGTTTGATGTCTGCCAGGAGCCAAGCAGTGGGTGTGTGGCTCTATTTCAGCACCAGGACACTTGAACAGCACCATTGTGAGTCTTCTAACCACTCTGTGGCTCCTAGTTAAATTTATGCTTACCCTCTGGCACTTTTCACAGAGGGTCCTTTCAGTCAAAACCAAAAACATTATAGAAAAACAGAAAGCAAGGTAATAAGAACATGTCCTAAATCAATGTATAATAGTCTCAGTGATACTTTTTCCTGGAATGGAAAGTAAATTACATACTGAAAACATGAAATGCAGTATTCAGGCACTGAAGATAGATAAGTAAATAAATTTCTTCATCTTTAAATACAATTATAATCCAAGAAACCCTGAGCAAGAGAAAACCCTAACATTGTATAGCTATCCATTTTTAATGCATTTGAGTCAGATAATTAGATTAAAATGTTTTTGATAGATTACCTAGTTGGAATCCTGAAGTCTGCATTGTTTCCCAATTTGTAAGCCACCTGTAATGTAGTTGATCCCACTACCCTCTGGATAGCTCTTCTAGATGCTGCTTTATCTACCTGGAACTGAGAGATCAGATCAAACCCTATAGAATGGGAATACAAAATGAAAAGTCTAAAATGAGATTGGTTTTATTCCTTTCCACAACTTTCTCAAATAAAAGAATATACCAGGTTTATGGAAAGCATGCATTTTTAATACAGTACATTGCTACTCACCTGGTAAGTCATCTTGGCCAATCCTGATCTTTGGACAGAGTTCATCTCCACCATTAGAACTGGAATTGACAGGGTCTCCTGCAAAAGAGATAGCATGTCATTCTACTTCATTCACTCAGAAGATTTCAGGATGTACCAATAATAATAACTATTTAAAATTTAACATTATACCAGCTTGCTAAGAGGTAGCATGTTTTGCTTTAATTCCATGCCTCTATGACTATAATCCATCCACCTGCAACTCATCCTGGAAGGGATGGATGCAATGCACAAAGTTGTTTTAATAATCTGTGCTGGGAAAATGTTCCTTTTGGAGAGGTTAGGCATTTGTTCCTTTTGAAACCAAAGCTGAATGATGTCCTGAATGGCACAGGGTCAGAAGTCTGTTTGGAAAATTTCTGGTGGTTTGGGCTAGAAAATATTCCTTAAACACCACAAATTTTAGGATTCCAGTGAGATTTAGAGCCAGCCTTTGTCCAGTTCAGTGGGGCTTCTGGAGAGTGGAGTTTTTAGGAATCTTTGTCAGATATAGGTATCTGGGAAGTCTTGAGATTCACTAATCATAAATAAAATGTAGAGGATGCATTTGATTTCATAAATTCATTCTAAGAGATCAAATACAAGTCCAAACTAGATTACTGCTAGCATCTTAGAACTGGGAAGAGTAAAGGGAAGAAGAAAATAATCATGAGAAGGATTAACCCTCTATTTGATAAGAAATCATATAATGGAATTGTGTTCTCTTTATACAAGTGGGAGGTCATAGGGAGGGAGAATTTTTTCACCACCACAGAAAGCTTCTCATAACTATCCAACCTCAGCGCCTTGCTAATATTCATCTGACAACAGAGACTCTCTAGACTTCAGAAAAAGTATTATTAAGTTACAAAACATGGGCCAGGTACCATGGCTTATGCCTGTAATCTCAGCACTTTGGGAGGCTGAGGCAGGTGGATCGCCTGAGGTCAGGAGTTTGAGACTAGCCTGACCAACATGGTGAAACCCCATCTCTACCAAAAATACAAAAAATTAGCCGGGCATGGTGGCACATGCCTGTAGCCCCAGCTTCTCAGGAGGCTGAGGCAAGAGAATCACTTGAATCTGGGAGGTGGAGGTTTCAGTGAGCCAAGATGGCATCACTGCAGTGCAGCTTGGATGACAGAGTGAGACTCCATCTCAAAAGCCAAACAAAACACATGGGCCTATCCATCATGGTACATCAAACATGCTCTTTATACTCCCCTGACCCCAAATTGTTGAGGTCCATCCATCCATCCATCCATCTATTCATTCATTCCGCATGTATTCACCCAACATTTACCAATCACCATCCATACTAGGCACTGCAGCACACAGATTGGCCTTCCTGCCAACTGTGGTTACTGGTGGGACTTAACTTTCCATACCCAGCATTGGCCATGGAAAGCCAGCCACTAGCATATCCCCATGCCCCAAAGCAGGATGGAAGAGTGAAGGTGTGAAGGACCATAGATGCCTCACTCAGTCTTCAGTCAGCCACGGCCCTGCCTGATCATTTCTGGGAATAAGTGATCTTTCAAAGTCTAGAAACTATGGCCCTTACTGGGGCGACGCTTGACAGCTGCAGATGCCCAGGGTTCCAGGAAACTGCACACAAAGAAGAAAACTGGAATTTTCCTGAAGAAGAGAGAAGAAAAGTGACTCAAACCAGAGTCCCTGCAGATGGGAACTACTTTCATGTTTTCAAACCTGGTAAACCTAATTAATGTAAGGTGATCAAATCTCAGTATAGTTTATTTTTTTCATTTTTACTTTGAAATCTTACTAACAGATGTAAGGAATTCATACGTTTCCAGCTCCCACTGTCCCTGTTGTTTCATTGATCTCATTTTCTCGGTATCTACCTATCTCGGTATTTCCTTGTCTCTAGTTTCTTTCATCTTTGATTTCCTGCCTCTCTTTTTTCCATGGCTGTCACTTTCTCTCCCTCCCTCTGTCTCTTTTTTTGCATCTCTCTTCTGTTTCTCATGCTTGCTGTCTCATCGCTGTCTCTCTCTGTCTCTCACCTTGCGGCTCACCTACTCTCATCCTACCACTGCTGCAAAAATACGCACCGTTGGTTCTGAGGACCCCCAGCCCAGTCTCCCTGCCACTTTTCCTAGAGTTATTGTCTTACCAGCAGGTCTTCATTTTCCCAGTTGATTTCTTTGGTTGCCAACAGTCCTTATGAAGAAGGGGTTGGAAGGGAGTCACTGCTCCCTCACGACCCCTTCACAGTCACCCTAGGAGTATGAGTTCTGGGCCCAGCCTTGGTCCTTCCTGCCCTGGTGAGGGCTAAAAGCAAAGGGAGAGAACCAGAGGCATCTCGTGACACTTTAAACTGAAGCAGAAGAAAGGGGTGGGGAGAAGCAGCTCTGTGAGCCCAGGCCTAGGGGTGTGTCCTCAAAGCTAACAAGGTTACACTGAAGGAGGGATTAACAGGGGAAAGTTTGCTGAAAAGAAAAAAATAAAATCAGGATGTGGGAAAATTCACCAGAAAGATCCAGGCAAGGTCCTATAGGAACACACTAGATGCTTTTAGATCTGCTATAGGAGCACAATGGCAGCTTTCAGAACTGCTATAGAAATACAGTGGAAGCTTTCAGAGGACTGAGTTTCCAGTAAAAATGTGCCCACTGGGAGGCAGAGGTGTGGAAACTCGTGGGAGCCTTGGTGCCCAATCAGCCCAGGTTTCAATCCCTGTTTATTCTGAAGCTTACTAGTTGAGAGAGTTACTTCACCTTTCTGTAACTAGATGCCTTAACTGTGAAACCGATTGAAAATACTTACATAAAAACAGTAGTTTTGAGAATTAAATGAGTTGCAGAGGCAGAGGGTCTAACAGCCAACAGTCATTATTTGTCATTGTCCTCATAGCTAACACTTCATGATGTGCCTCCCTCTGTTGAAAATGCTCAAAGGCTAATGCCATTTAATTCTCACAATAGCATTATAAGGTGAGACTGAAGTTACCCTTATTGCCAGATAAGAAATTTGAGGAACCAGACAATCAAGTAACTTTTTCAAAGTGCCATGCCTATTACTAAACACACACTTCCTCTCTCTACCTCATGGTTGGAAATCCTGTTAAAATGTAATATCAAGCCCCCTAGTTGTTGAGTCTTCTTAAACTCTTGAGATTACCAGAGTTGAGCAGAAGATGCTGTACCTGGAAAGAAACAACATACTATCCTCTGCTAATGAGGTGAGAGCATGTTACAGGGAGCACAAACCTAGGGAGATACCTGTTATCAGCATTGCAGCCACCCACGCCACATCCCCTCTCCAGAACCTCAGCATGTCAAGAGAATTCCCAAGAGGCCCCACATCGCCCCCCTTCCCACCCACTCAGCACGGCCTATCTCTGGCCTTGTCTTGACCGACACGGGTGGTTAGTCCAAAAACAGGGACTCTCGAGGTCAGAAGATCCAATTATCTCAAAAATCACAGTAATTTTGAAGTGTTTTTGATTCCTTGAACTTTTTTTTTAAGAGACAGGGTCTCAGGTCTTGCTCTGTTGACCAAGCTGGAGTGCAGTGGCGTGATCATAGCTCAGTACAGCCTTGAACTTCTGGCCTCAGGGGGTTCTGAGAAACTGGAATGATAGTTGTGCACCACTGCACCCGGCTTCTTGAAATTTTTAAATTTAATTTTCTAATTGATTTAATTTTTATTTAATTTCAGAAACAATAGTATTGCTTCTTATTTTCATTTGTTTATTTATTTTTTCCAAAAGTCCTTTCATCTTCTGCCTCTCCCAGCTCACTGATGAACTGTGAATCAGGTAAACTTAATATCCATGCTCTTGCCCTTTTCTTTTCTACTCACGGCCCACCTGTTGGAGTCCTGTCTCTTCTTCCCAGAGGGACACCCATTTCCTCATGCTGTTTGGGGCTTTCCACAAGTCCCTGTCATTTGCCTTCTGTCTATCAAAATTCCCATTCCCTAGAGCAGCCATCCGGGCTCCGTGACAGAACTGCAGATGACCAGAGCCTAGCTTATTTATTTAAGTCAGTCAGGGCTCATGTGAAAGAAGCGGTCTATTAACCTCAGAGGAGAAACTATGCAGCTGACATCCAGAAGTCACAGGAGGTAAGCCAGCCCGAGATTCACAGGGGAAATGGCATTTTCCAAAGGGACTGTCTATTAAAGCTGGTTATTTGCATGAGTGATCTTCTCATATTACTTACTCTGGTAAGAGAGGAGAGAGGGCTTTTTCTTTATAATGAAGTCTTTGGGAAATCCTTTCATTGCTTTAGAGATCTCAATCCGGCATTTGCCCCCTCCTTCCCACTGTAATGAATCATCTTCAAATAAAATCTGAAATCAAGTGAGGGTGCCTTTTAATTAAAAATAAAGGGATAGAGAGAAAAATAGATTTGTTTATAAGTGGTTTGGCTTTGTCCTAGCTTGGCAGTTTTATTTAAGATGGTGAGGAGCAAGCAAGAGCTATTTTTAGAAAGAAAGTAGGCTGGGTGCGATGGCTCATGCCTGTAATCCCAGCACTTTGAGAGGCCGAGGTGAGTGCCTCACCTGAGGTCAGGGGTTCGAGACCAACCTGGCTAACATGGCGAAACCCCGTCTCTACTAAAAATACAAAAATTAGCCAGGTGTGGTGGCACATGCCTGTAGTCCCAGCTACTTGGGAGACTAAGGCAGGAGAATCATTTGAACCCAGGAGGTAGAGGTTGCAGTGAGCTGAGACCAAGCCACTGCACTCCAGCATGGTTGACAGAGCATGAGTCTGTCTCAAAAATAATAATAAAAGAAAGAAAGTCAGTCCAGACCAGGCAGGATGGCTCATGCCTGTAGTCCCAGCACTTTGGGAGGACAAGGCAGGCAGATGGCTTGAGCTCAGGAATTGGAGACCAGCCTGGGCATTATGGCAAAACCCCATCTCTACAAAAAATACAAAAGTTAGCCAGGCATGGTGGTGCATGCCTGCAGACCCAGCTACTCAGGAGGCTAAGGCAGGAGGATCACTTGGGCCTAAGGAGTTTCAGGTTGTAGTGAGCGATGATCACATTACCGCACTCCAGCCTAGGCAACAAAGTGAGGCCCTATGTCATAAAAAAAAAAAGAAAAAAGAACAAAAAAGAAAGTCCATCCAGAGAAAACAAAGATATGTACCATCTTTAACTTTTTTCTCCTCCCTCCTCTCCCATTTCCTATTAATCATGTTTCCAAACATGACATTAGAATCTCACAGACAGCAGTGCCAATGCCACGCTATTCTGCTCTGGGTCAGTTGCACCCTAAGGTCACAGAAACATAAGCTTTTTCGCCCTTAGCACTGTTCCCTCACCTTACCTAACAGTTCTGTTCTGAAAAACCATGTAGAAATGAAATCGGGTCAATCATATCAGATTGTAAATGCACTAAGACAGCTTGGTATTTAAAATGATCAATTTTATAAATAGATGTGTTTTGTACAGAACAATTATACTTTTCTTTGTACTCCCTCTCATCCTGCCCCCAAATACTTTTCTACAGAATACACACAATAATCTCCTTCTTCCTATAAATCAAGAATATTATTTACTTAAAGCTTAAATCGGGGAACATCATCACAAACAGTCATCTTTCTTGATCATCTACTTTCTTTCATGTGTTTATTCAATCATGTATTGAATAACTATATACAGTAGTATATGCATCGAATATGTGCTAGGAGTTGAGGAAGCAACAAGTGTGAATAAACAGAGCCTTGCCCTGAGGAAGCTGACAGTCCAGTAGGGAGGATTAGCATGAAAATGACCACAATTCAGAGAGTAGCAAGGCTGTAGTATCACTGAGAACAAGTATTAGCACAGTCCAAGGGCTTCGGGAAATTTTTAATAAAAGAGATGAAATCTTAAAAGATGAATAGAAGGCCACTAAGAGAATAAGTGGGTGCAGTACATTTTAGACAGAGAAAACAAATACGATAACAAAAAGGTAAAAGAGGCCATTTGGGAAGCCAGCCATTTAGTGCAAGAATCCTTTCATTTGGCAAATATCTCCTGGTGCCCCTTCTACCATGCTCCCTGACTGACCTCAATGCTAGAGAGACAACCAGAGAAAGAGCAGGTCCCTGCCCCTATACAGCTGACACACTGTTGGGAACACAGATACTAAACACGGTTTCAAGAATAAGCAAAATAATTTCAGGTGAAAATGTTATGAAAAATATAAAAGAAGACAATGTGTTCTAGAGACTGCAGAAGAATTAGAGGCTGATCTAGGTTGAGGGGCGAGGGAAGGCTGCTTTGAAGTTGTGAATTTTGACTCAGACCAGATGAGAACAAAGAGAGAAGATTGGTGGGTAGATTGGAAAAGGGGTGGAGGACAGGAAAACTTCCTGGCTTTGAGCTTGAGCAACGGAGTAGATGATGGTATCCGTTTCTGAAATCACAAGTAGGAGGACCACGGGGAAGGAGTTTGGTAAACGATCTTGAATGACGTCCAAAGAAAGCGTAGACATTATTCTGGCTGTTACAGGAACTGAGAGAAGACTTTTTTAAATGTGTCTTCAGAAAGACAGTTCTGGTATTGCTTGGCAGATGGATTGAATGGATTTGATTAGTATATACACAACTGGAACAAAAGTTTCAGAAAGCAATGCTTACTCATGTAAATGTGATATATTCTATTTTCTGTTTTACTATATTTTATTTTTGAATGATGATGACCAAATCAGTGAGTAGATTTCAGGACCAACCAATGGGTTGCAACTCATGGCTTAAAAAACATTAGATTAGAAAACCATTAGAGTAGACACTAGAAATACCAAAAGATCTCTTTCCCTTTCCTCTCTTTTCCGGGTATGGGTATGATAGTTGGGATGCCCCATAAAACTCAGAATGGTAGGACAACTTCCTTACTTTTAACATGACCATATATTTTTTAAAACATTCTTTTGAAGTAAAGTAGCTGTAAACTGAGAGTTTTAATTGAACATACCACAACCCCCATATTTTATTAGTTTATAGGTTCCATTAAGGAAGAATATTTTAAAAACTAGCTTCCTAATTGTATTTAGTTTTCAGCTTTATTCCATCTATCTTTACTTTAAAATAAAAGACCCAAGATGCCTAATGGCACTTACCAGTTGTGTGAGAATGCTGCGAATTAGTCACAGCTAGAGCCTGAAATGTATCACAGAAATCTCTGGCTGAGAGGCTGATTAACAATCAGAGCTGCTAAAACTAGGACTCCCACAGTTTTACATTGGGTTCAGTTTTACTGTAAAGAAATTTCACCATAATCAAAGCTCTATTTTTAATCTTATTTTGGCCCTATACAGGTAATTGTAGCCTAATCATC